GAGGTCGCCGGGCAGCTCCGCGCGCTCGATCGCGTCGACGTCGCAGCGCCCGCCACGGCCAATGAAAGGGGCCTGCCGTTCTTCCTCGCCCAGGGGCGCAGGTCACTCCCAAGCGGTAGCACGCGCCTGTCGCCGCGCCCCCGCGACGAGCGTCGCCTGGGCTGCTGACACTGAGCCTTTCACCATTTTCCATACCCTAGGGCCCGCTGCTTGCAAGGGAGGCCTCTGCCCTCCACTCCGCCCCACGTGCGCCGCCGAAACTTACCGCATGATGCCGCTGACGCCGCCCCGAGGGAAATCTCGAAAATGCGCTTCCTGCCCAGGCGTTGGAACTCGTTGGCCACGTCGACCATCTGCTACTCCACGGCAGCTTCGCCCCCCTCGGCCCCGCCCGCGACGTCGCCCACATGTGACCAGAGTCGCGCGCCGAGAAACGGGAATAGAAGAACCGCGGCACATCGGGCGCCCTGTGCCGATCCAGCCACTCTGGAGCGAGTTGGTGTGATCCCAGCCAATTGGCATGTTTGAAATGCCTCAGTCCGAGAGACGATCCCACTCCTGACGCCATGACTGCGGATGAAAACTACACCTTATTTCCTGCCACAATGACCCACGTAAGATCGAATGACTAATCAAAACGGCCCCGCAAATGCAAACAACTCCGCATGCGAAATACCCGCGGCGCGCCCTCTCTCGCCCAAGCGCTTGTCGCGCGCAGCAGCTCCGCGCGCCAGGCGGATGCCCCCTTGAGAGCAACACCCCCAATGGCCCGCCAGATGCTGGGCCCACCGCCCCACCGCCCCCGATCTCACACGCGGCCGGATTCCAACCGTCATAAATAGCAGCCCGAGAACTCGATCGCCTCCGGATGGCTTACAGGCAATCGCACCAATGGCACCAAATATGCGGAGGCCACATCCAGGTCTGATCCGAGAGGTCCACGACGCGGAGGTACCCGAGCCTCGCGCCTCCGGGCAGCCTCTCGACGTCGATAGGGCCCTAGACCGACAGCTCCACGCGTTCCGTCGACCCCCATCTCCACGGTGGCCGCGTCGAGTTCACGGGGGGGCGAGCGGTTCGAAAATTCCCGGTCGAGCCAGATCTCTGCACGCGCGCGCTGCTTATAGAGGGCTCACTGTCCAGATAGGTCGGCCGCCCGCTTGCCAGTCCAACCCCCCGCCATGCCCGACACGATGCAACTGGGGCCCCGAACCAAGTTGGCGGCGATCATTTTCCCCAGGCCAGGCAGCGTGGAATCCTTTGTTCATTCGCGCAGTGCCACTGGAGATCTTCGCCGCGTGTCCTGAGCTCGCAAGATGAAGCCCTTGCGGTCGCCCACAGAAGCGCGTCGACCTGCTGCGCTCACCAAGGGCACCGCGACGTCGATGAAATCCTGCCGCTCCTGCGTGGCTGGGCTGAAGATGCCGCCCACGTCACGCGGCACTTGGTTGGTGGCTCGACAACCGCGCGCCTGCTGACGCCGCGCATTTCGTCGCCGCTCCACACAAAGATGTCTCTTGCGCTGACTGGCCCCCGCGCGCGCGATTGCCCGCCGCTCTGCACTTCTTGGAGACGTAAATGAGGCCCCCCCGGCGACGGCGCGCCCCTCTCCCGCGCGACGCCAGATCCCCACGCTCGTCTCTGGAAGTTGCGGCGACCTTTTTTCATGGAACTCGCTGTGGCGCAGGCTGGCCTGCTCCAAAGCGGCGACCCGCTCGCCGCAGAGCTGCGCCATGCCGGCCGGCGCCCAGGTCGCACTGGCCCATCAAGCTCGCAAACTGTTGTCGGTGAGCACTGCGAGAGAGCAGGGCGGGAGGATTCGTCAAACTTGCAGACGCGCCGCGCCGGGCCCGAAGCGGCTCGGATAATGGGGCCACAAGAGCGCCCCCATTGTCCTCGGCACATTGCCGCACATTGTCGGCGTCGACGCCATCGCTGGCGCAGCCGTTCTCTCTTGAGCCCCGCTTGCTCCGATGGCTCGCCCGCGGAATCTCGCCCGAGCCTCTGGCGTGAGCTCTGGAACGCTATCCTCTGTCCTGGCCTGGGGGGCACCTGGCGGGCGCTCGCGGCGACGTGGCGGGTCGGCGCGCGGTTCGAATCCCACGTTGGAGATCCATCTCGCCTGGCCCCGATCGCCCGCGGGTGTCGGAAGAAATCGTAGTGATACTGGTTGGATTCAAAACACGGGGCAATGTGGCTGGCTGCATCCGTCGTGTTATCTGGCACCTCGTTCATCTGGTCGGGCTCGAGGATATCCAGCCCTGCTCGAATTTGCGGATCAAGGTCTGCGCCGCGTCTGCGCAAGGCTCGACGCTGATTTGCACGCTTGCTGATCGGGTCTCCCTTGAGCTTCGGTCGGCTCTCCGAGGGCGAACTGGCTGGGATGTCTTCCAGTGACGAAGTGCAGGATCATGGGGGCGAAATGGACAAAGGTTGAATTTCCCTGCCTGTCCAACTTACCACGACAATGATCCAATGTAGTGCTCTGAAATTGGGCACGGATCGCCAGTCTAGCCTGCCGGCAACCCCGATTCGGATTTGCCACTGGGAGCCGCAGGTGCGATGGTGGCCTGGTGGCCTTCTGGTCTTCTTTCTGCAATAAAATCTCGATACTGTCGATGTCCCTGGGACCCTTCTGTGCCTCCACAAAGGCGCAACAGTCGTACTGCTTGATGCGTGGGCCCTGGTTGTGATTCTGCACTTGCGGCCCCCATTCCGCGAGACTGCCGAACATGACATTGAATCGGTTCTGGCGCTGGTCACTGTGATTCGCGATGTGCGAGGCGTCCGAGCTAAAGGGGCTGCTGAATCGAATCAGCACCTGCTCCTTCTGCACCATTACCTTCCTGAGCGTGTTCCTGGCCCTGCTTGTTCCTCTCCTCCCGAGCCTGGGCGAGGGCATCCGTGGTGACGTCGCGGACCCTCTGCTTTTCGTGCTCGAGGTTGGGCTCGGGTGTGGCCGAGGAACTCGCTGCACCTCCTGGGGTAGGTCGGGCTGGCACCGCTGGCTGTGGTTGTGCATATGGTCGCTGTGTTCTCTGTTCGATTGGTACTGGTTCGCCTTCTTCTCCGACTTTGCGCTCCTCTTGGGATCAGACATCGCCTGGTCTGCCTTCCCGTGAGCGTCTTGGATGTATTTGAACCTTTCTGCATGGTCTCGAAGTGTTCCGTCTGGAACTGCTCCAACTCCTTCTACCACTTGAGAAGGTTGCTCTTCTCGCCAACCGGGACGTCGCAGTCCTTAATGCCTTCGAAGAGGCTCGCATCGTACTCTACTCGAACTTGATCGTGAACGGGGTGGTTTCTAGGGTGGCGGAAACAACCTCGATGCCCGACTCCTCGTTGGCCTTCGCGAAGGCGATCCTCCGCTGCTTGAGGGCATACAAATTGTGCGCCGCCACCGTGTCCATCTACGCCTACTGGTCACCAAGGTCGGGCTGAGTGTTGACCAGCTTCTCCCTGTGGTTGGTGGGGCGATACTCGGTGTCTTTGATGGCACGGGTGGATTCGCCGAGGAGGTGCGCGCGCACTTGGCTCTCCAACCGGTACGGCTTGAGCTGTGGCTGGTTCTTCCTGTGACGCATTGCGTCGCAATGTGGCAATGGCAGCCTCAATGGTAGGGCCGACTGGTGCGCCATCGCGCGTCTTGGACTTGCTCTGGATGAGGTCGTGGGAAGTGGGCGGGATTTCCTCGATCCGCTGGGTGTTCGCAACCTTGCCATCGCCGTCGCCCATGTGCTCCTCTTCGCCCCAGCGTTGTCAGCTGCGCCGCCACGGTGGGAGGAATTGTAGCACTGCTGCCGCCACGACGTCTTCCCTCCATGCCGCCCCAATCCGTACGTCGACCGCACCGAAGGGCGTGCCGCTGTCGAGGACCAGACTCCCGACGGCGAAGGTGGAGTCCCAGACGTTGGGCGGAGCTTCGCGTCGCACTTGAAGCGGGCCCTAGTTACACTTGTACCCACAAGCTCTGCATCCGATGAAATTCCACGTTACATTCTGAGCATGTTCTTAGGGTGGAGGGCTCAGGGTGAAATCCAGATGGGATCTCGCACCTCGAAAATCAATTCGTCTTGTGATGAAGAAAATGCTCGGGCATTGTCGAACCCCATGCCGCAAGGGAGGCAGCGGGGCCGTCTACGTGCCCTCACATGCGGGCTGCAGGAGGCACCCGGGGACCCGAGGCGGATCGGGCTCTGGAGCAGGACGAGCGAGCTGGCCGCGGACTATAGCGGTATCCGCTGTGTTCCCTGAGAACACTGAGGGGGCCAGGGACACACAAATAACGACACACTAATCCCGGGATTACCCACATTTTCCCATATGTTCTGGGTTTTCTTCTTCCCCCCACTTCCCATATTTTCCCATATTTTCCGGGGAATCGACGATTAGTTGTGTCTGTGTTTTTTCCCTGCTGACAAGGCATCTGGAGCCAAAATGGCTACGGACACTGGCAGGAAGGAAGGAGGAAGGAGGGAGAGGAGGGAGAGGGGGTCAGGCGGGCGCAGGAGTGCGGCGACGATGATTGCGGTGGTGGAATGGGGATGATCATGATGAAGGTGATGCGAGATGGCAGTGGTAGTGGTAGCTATGATGATGATGACGACGACGACGACGACGATGATGATGATGATGCTGATGATGACAATGACGATAATGATGATGTTGCGAGTGATGATTGAGATGAGGACGAGGATGATGGTGGTGATAATGACAGAAAGGGTAATAAGGACCGCAGGTATAAGAATGACAACTGGTAGCGATGATGATGACGATGACGATGATGATAATGATGACGATGATGATGATGATGATCATCATCATCATGAGGATGGTGATGATGAAGATGAAGATGCTGTCGACAATGGCCACGTCTCTGAGTATGAGAATGAGGACGATGATGATTGCGAGTATGTTCTTTTTACTATTGTGGTGATGATGAGGTGCTGACGACGTGGACCTCCCGCGCGGCGCGCGTGGCGGCGGCGGCGCGCAAGAGGCGGTGCCCTCGCCTGCAGGAGCGCGGCGGCGCCGAAGGCGGCGCCGAAAAGCAGGTGGGCGGTCACGGCCAGGGCGGCGTGGCAGCCAAGGACCTGCAGATGCGGGCGCGCCGAAACGGGGACCCGGGAAGAGGTGGGCCCAGAACGCGAAAGTTCGGGGATCGAAGATCGAATATTGGATTTTTTGCTTGCTCGTTTTGGACCTCCACAGGGTTCCTCGTCACCACGGCTGGAACCGCCTCAAAATTCTCGCCCGAACGCACCCTGGAACACGTCAGGGGACGAATGTGTGCCCACCTGACCCAGGCATGCTCATGTCGTGTATTTTATATATATATATATATATATATATATATAAAAAAAAATAAAAAATAAAAATATAAAAAAAAAAAAAAAAAAAAAAAAAAAAAAAAAAAAAAAAAAAAAAAAAAAAAAAAAAAAAAAAAAAAAAAAAAAAAAAAAAAAAAAAACGGCGCGAGAAATCGGACAGCTTCTTAGCACCTGGGGGCCTTCGCCAGGCCCCGGGCCCGTCCAAAATCGGTTCGGAATGGGAAGCTGGTCCCGGGAAGAGGGTCCGGGCCACTGGAGGACCTGCGGATGCGGGTGCGCCAGAAAGGCTGGATCACCCAGCATCGGATCGGAAAGTCGGATCGGATCGGGACGTGCTTCGAGTCGGGCCGACTCGGCACGAGGTCAGGATCGAATCGGATCGACCACGCCAAGTCGCACCTCAGCGCCCGTGCGAGTCTTGGGCCGCATCGGATCCGCGGAACAGCACAATCTGATCGGATCGGGCCAGCAGGAACCGACATCAAATCTGAAGTCGGCGTGTCCCCCTACAGGGGGATTTTCGACGAAAACAAAAAAACAAATACCCCAACAATACCCCAAAATGGTCCAAAAATATTCAAAAACTAATCCCCCAGACTATTTGTTGACTTTTTCTGACTATTCCCCCTGTAGAGGGACCCGACTTAAATCAAATCGGACCGATCGAATCGGCACAGGCCCGTGGGGAGGGGTGTCCAGGACGGTGAGGAGAAGGAGGAGGACGGCGTTTACCGTTACTACTAATGCTGCTTTCCTAGGGGCTCCAACTCCTAGGTAGGGTCGCACTGGGGTAATTTTGAATATTCCCCCTGTAGAGGGACAGGCCCGACTTCAATCAAATCGGACCGATCGAATCGGCACAGGCCCGTGAAGAGGGGTGTCCAGGAAGTGAGGGTCAGCGCCCCATGGCCCGAGGACGAGGGGGGGGGGGCAGAGACTGGTCTACTCTGTAAGAACGGTTTTTTGAAGGCAGATCTGCCTTCAAAAAACCGTTCTTACAGAGTAGACCATTTTTTGAAGGCAGATCTGCCTTCAAAAGACCGTTCTTACAGAGTAGCACAGGCCCGTGGGGAGGGGTGTCCGGGAAGCTCAGGGTCAGCGCCCCGTGGCCCGAGGCACGCGCGCGGACGCGGGGGCGCGACGAGCGGGGGGGGCAGGGGATGCACAGTCAAGCTCCTCCTCCTTCTTCGCCTCCTCCATCGCCTCCTCCTCCTCCTCCTCCTCCTCCTCCTCCTCCTCATCCTCCTCCCCTTCCTCCTCCCCCGCCTCCTCCTCCTCCTCCTCCTCCTCCCTCCTCACTCCTCCCTCCTCCCTCCTCCCTCCACCCTACTTCCTCCTCCTTCTCCTCCTCCTCCTCCTCCGCCTCCCTCCTCCGTCCTCCTCCTCCTCCTTCATCCTTCTCCTCTCCACGGCGACGGTGACGTACCAATCAGCATCTCGACAGCGTTGCGGCTCAAAACAGCACCAACACAGACGCAAAAAAAGGAACACGCAAAAGAAGGACGCGCTTCCGTGCAGGACGCGCGGGCTGAAAGCGCTGCCAAAGCGATGCCTGGGCCGCGGCTGGCGGCCTAGGAGACGACACGGAGGGGAGGAGGGGGAGATGTTTTTTGTCCACGCAACGCCCCGAAGATTCGTTACTCCGCCCTCGAGCACTGCATATCACGACAGCATGGCTGCGCCGCTGAATGAGATGGAGGGTCGACTGACGGTGGTCGAACCGCAGGCGCCCACATGCAGTATTCTCCAGGTGAGCTGTGAGACACAAAAACACAAGACAGGCACCTCGAGACGAGCCGCATGACCAACGGATATATAGACAAGCGCGTTCCACTACTCGCAAAGTGACTACTCGCAAATGGCCTGGATCCGCCGGGGGGGTCTACGAGAAATTACATCGAAGCAGACGTGTGCTTTTCGGACGTTTGCGAGCAGGCACTTTGCGAGTAGTGGAACGCGCTTGGTGATTATAGGCCCACGCGACACACGACATCCATATCGTCGTTCAAAGGCGGGGGAGGGGTGCAAGGGAGAGGAGAAGAGAGCACGGCTGGAGCTCGTGGGTGCGGAGGCCATTCGACAGCGGCGCGCACACCAGGGATCCGCCCGAGCAGCGTAAGGTAGCGAAGGGCAGCGGAGGGGAGGGAAGAAGGCGAAGAGATGAAGAAGAGGCCGACTACGGTACAGCGGGCGATCAGCTAGGCAAGTAGATCAGATCTGTAGTGTCCCGGCGTGGCGGCATCGTGCCGCGCGCGGACCAACCCATGGCGGCGGGGGGCGAGCCCAGCTTTGCAGCTCGGGTTGGCCGCCAGCGGCCGAGCAGACAGACAGACAGACACAAAACGTACGCCGAAAGGCGCGTAGACGCAACTAGGACATGCAATGCCAGCTCACGCCGGCCCTCCAACCGGACTCACAATGGATATTCTCTCCGATCACAGCAGCGTGTTTGCAGGCCGAGCGAGGCCGAGCGGCCGAGCGGAGGCCCCGAATTTGCAGGCTGGCGATGAGCCACGGACCATCAATTAAGAGGAGGGGGAGGGAGGGAGGAGGGCGACTGCACGCTCTGGCCGAACGCTCCGGGCCTCCGCAGCCGAGAAATACGGGAGAGAAGGAGGAGGAGGGCACTCCGCAACCTCACGCCGTCTGGCCGGCGAGGCCCTCCGAAGCGGCATCACGATTCGGGGGAGGGAGGCGGGAGGAGGAGGGAGGCGGAGGCGGAGGACGGAGGACGAGGAGGGAGGAGGGCGACTGCACGCTCTGGCCGAGCACTTCGGGCCCCCGCAGCGGTGACATTGCCTGACGGCTCGGGGCAACAGATACGGAGGGGGAGGGGCGAGGCGGAGGGAGGCAGAGGACAGAGGAGGAGGAGGGAGGGAGGAGGGCGACTGCAGAAGAGGAGGGACAGAGGAGGAGGAGAAGGGAGGGAGGAGGGCGGGAGGAGCAGACGAGGAAGATGGGGAGGGGGGAGGATGTGACCTGAAGAGCCTTAAAGACTCGGATGCTCCAGGTTGTCCACAGATTGCGCCCAATGCTGCCTGGGTGTAGCTCTGCGCCGGCGGCAAGCCCAGCCCACAAGCGGGCCATCATGTTTGCACACCACTTGCCTCACCAAGGAGTCGTCGATCTGCGAAACAGTTCTGTTATATACTTAAGATTGCCGCTCACAGAAGTATTGCAGAAAGCGGTCTGGGTCCGGCACGCGCACGGTAGCCTCTGGTATCTCCGACGGGTACGAGCTGGGGATGCCCATTGATTTTCGCAAGCACCTGCATTCGAAAGAATCCAACCGATATCTACCAACCTTCAGCAACCACAAAGACTCTAATGACTAGAAGATATTGCCAAGCACGCATCTGTTGTAGATTTACGCAACGGCCTCCTCTTGCTGATTGGTGCGTGATCCCAAATTTTGCATTCCAACTCATGTAATTGATTCCCCTGTCGGCCTCGACACCAAGCTATCCGATGCCACAAACACGTGCACAGTTCAGTCCCAAGTCAAGTCCACGCCATATGTGTGCCTTTGCCAGTACAATCGCATTAAACAGTGCTTGGCAATTGCCCCCTTGCCGCGACGGCAACAGCGTTTCGTCTGCGTACACCACGTACCGGGTAAAAGCAAAATCTGGTCCACGTTGGAACTGGATGTACTGAAACACATCGTGTAGCGAACCATGATGAACAAGTGCTGGAATACCGGGCACCCGTGTGCGATGCCAACACTGTGCCGTCGTTCCGTAGATCAGTCGCAATGACCCAGTATGGTGAAATAGCGCCCCGCATACACATGCACGCGATTATGTCTACCATCGGCGATGGAATTTCGAAACGCAACAAGGCTCCACACAAACAGTCTGGCTTGAAACTGTCCGAGGCTATTGCCCAGTCCAGCAAGATTACCGAAAGGCACCCAGTACCGTCCACGCTGGCTGTGTCGATGATTCGCCTGATCAGAAGAAGGGCGTCGGCCGTACCACGCCTAGGCCGCAAACCAAGCTGAGATGATCGCATTAGTTCAGCAGTTCCTCCTCGTTTCAACTGTTGGTGGCGCATCAATACCAGCGTTTTGCAACCAGCAGTCAACAGGGGTATTGGGCGGTAGTTGCTAGGCAGCGTGTGGTTTCTTTCAGGGACGTACTTCGTCACCCGAAAAGCTTGGCAGAGCTCCAGTAAAGCTTCGCACACCTAAGATACGACGTTCCAGAAATCTGGAGGGGCATCACCTGGGCCTGCAGCTGTCCCCTTGCTCATGCTCCGCGCAACTTGCTGTAGTTCCCCGAGCGTGAAATCGGCAACATCTACTGGCAGCTCGCTTCCCGAAGTGCAGGTTCGGGGAGACGTAAGACCCGGGTACGGGGGACTCGGAAATCCCCGACGAGGAGGTCGTCAAAAAAATGACGAGGCCGAGCCTGCATTTTGACGAGGCCTCCCGCTGCAGACATCCCACGAAACTCCTACACGTCAAAATCCGAATCGTGGTCGTCAAAAAACGATGGCGAACCCGAGTCCTGGCAAACCCGGGTCTTACGCTCCCCCGACAGGTGGCCGTGGGGCTGATATCTGCAAGTTGGACCTCCCTGTGGACACTCTCGAAACAGTCTGCCAAAGCGTCTGGTCTACCAGCGAAGTCAGTCAAATTATGTTTCAAGTCGCGGACTCCTGCGTTTTTGATTTGCGGCTTCTGGCCCCAATGAACGCCTGGGTGCACGATGAGCGCCAGAGGAAAAACTATAGAGGGACCCAAGGAACAGCGAGCCCCTTCAGAACCCGAACTGCTACTTATTTCAGCGCCGTGGCCGTACTGAATGAAGAGGAGGGGGGCCATGAGATCCGAGCTCTGTTGCTCCGGCCATGAGTCCCCCCCACACCCCGGGTCCTCACCCGCCACTTGGAGGCCAAAGCCGCCCGAGACATCCTCGGCGAACGACCCGAGTCCAAAAGCCCTGCGGCCACCCCGAAATCCCACATAGCTTTGTGGATGCCATGACAATGGACACTCTAACAATCGCATCACTGAATTAAAGATGTGTTTAAGATGTGTGAAACATGTTCTAAAAATGTTTCAAACATGTTTTTACATATTTAAAACATGGGTGAAACACATCTGGAAATTATTGAATCGCTTCGCTCATTCCGCCGGCCCGTGATATGGCATCGCTGGTTTTTGTCTGTGTGTTCGTTGCCCATGTTGCGCTCTTGGGGGCGGGTGCCGTTCGGACGCGTTGCGTGGGGAGTTTTGATGGTGAAGCAGTTCCCTGGGGGTCGTCTCTCGATGGGGCGAAATAGAGTCGTCGTCAAGATGCTTCTTTGGGGGGCCTCTTGGGGTCTGTTGAGAGGCCGTTCGGGGGCGCCTGGGAGACATGTTTGAAGCCTTCTGGGGCTTCTTTTGGGCCTCCTGGGAGTCTCCTGGGGCCTCTTGGCGACATCTTGGGGCCTCTTGGAGGCCTCTTGGGGCCTCTTTGGGACCTCCTGGGCGCCTTCTGGGACGGAGGGCTCCATTTTTGAGTTCTCGGTATCCCTCCTGAGTCCCTCTTGGGCCCGTCTTGGGGCCTCTTGGTCCGTCTTGGGCGGCACTTGGGCCGTCTTGAGGGCTCTCTTGGGTCGTTTCGGCGCCGTCTTGGGAGCTTCGTGGGCCGTCTTGGAGCGGTCTTGGGGGCCTCTTGGGCCGTCTTGGAGCGTCCGGAAGCCGAAAAAGCCAGAACACAAAAAACATCGAAAAAAACCAATGAAAATCAACGATTTTGGCCTCTTGGGGCTCTCTTCGGAGGCCTCTTGGAAGGCTCTTGGGGCGTCTTGGAGGCCTCTTGGGCTGTCTTGGGGGCCTTTTGGGCCGTCTTGGGGTCATCTTCGGCGTCTTCGAGCGCTCTTTGGGCGTCTCGGGGGCCTCTTGGGCAGTCTTGGGGGCCTCTTGGGGCACTCTGAGCGCGCTCTGGGGAGCCTGAGAGGCCGCACCCAGAAGGAAAACCATCTCTGAGTAGACTTGGTCGGGCGGGCGGGCGGCGGGGGCGGCGGTCGGGCGTTGGTCGGGGTACTTTTCGCCGGGGGACCCCCAGGGGCCGCCCCGCGCGCGCGAACTAGAAATACTGTTAATACTGTTAACCAGTTACCGGAGATCTTAGCACGCCCTGGCCCATTGGGCCGGCGAATTTGGCAGCACGCTTCCTCTCCATTACGTAATCGACTTCCACAACCAGGGCTGCGGTGTGCCCACCGCGCCGTCTGGGGTGGCCCCGCTCCCTGGGCGCGCTCGCGCCCCGGCCGCTTCCCTGGTGAACGGCGGGCCGCGGCCGCCTCTCAGGGAATGCCCGAGGATCCGACCGGTGCATCGCATCATCGCATCGGCGGAAACTCGGCAGACCAGGTCGGGAGAAGCGGAGTCGGCGGAAATCGGCAGGCCAGTAAGGCCTCAATGAGAAGGCGACGTCCAAATCGGAGTCCGGAATCGGATCGAGTCGGGATCGGAGTCTATCGAGAGTGGGTCGAATCGAGCCCAGGTCCCAAGACAGCCCAACACGCTCCCAAGACGGCCGAAGAAACCCCCCAATTCAGCCCCAAGAAGTTGAAGGCGAACCCTTGGAGGCCGTCTGCAAGCCCCCAAGAGCCCCTCAGAGGCCCCCTAAGAGGCCCCCAGGAAGCTACCAAGAGGCACCCCAGCGGCCCCCAGAAGCCTTACAAGAGGCCCCGAATAAGGCTCCAAAAATCCGCCAGCCCAAAGGGCCAGCGGCGAGTTTCCCGACTTCGATAAGATGCTGTCATGTGGAGCGTACTCGATGACTGCTGCCATCACTCTCCATTGCGCTTCTCCTCGAAGACAGCTCACGCAACGCCTGGGGGAACTACCGCCGCCCATCTATGCCACAATCGCAACGAACACACGGGTAAGCGCCAGCGATATTACGGTACGGGCCAACGACATAGTGGGAGTGAGCAACGGCCAAGACGAGACGATTTCGCCGAATCGAAACAAACATTCTATCATTATGACCCTCCTCCTCACACTCTGATCTCTTCCACCTCGGCCTCATCATCGTCCACCCGTTCCCCTATCTGGCTCCGACTCCGACTCCCTTTCCGCACCCCTGGGATCATGATGCTTCTGCTCCAACTCATCCTACTCCCAAGTTTGGACGCCCGAAATGGGTACGGACAAAAATGGGCACGGTGCCCAAACCGGCAGCGGCCGCTTTTGGGCGGGCGGCCTCCTGTCTCAAATGGAAAACGCCCACGGTGGCACCGACAACGAGCCCTGTTCAAAATGGGCAGGAGCTGCTGCTAGACTTCTGGGGAAACAAAAAGGCACCGAGACTGCTACTCCCTGGACCTCTCCCAGGGCGCACTCTGACCAGAACTTCGAGGCGAATCTAGTGGTGGCGACGAGGGCCCCCCCAGGAAGCCTAAAAAGGGGAAAACGAGGAAAGGATAGCGTTGTGGGTACCTGTTCCTCCTCCGAGCTTGTCTCCGCCCCCATTCTTCCCGTACCCACTTCAATCGTACCGACTGCTGCGATCTGCGATCTGGCGGCGCGGTACCGGGCGCACCACTGAGAGACAAGCTCTGGGCGGAGTGCTAGGGGAACGGCGGGGGGCGGCGGGAGACGACGAGGCGAGGACGGAGGGAGGAAAGCTCCCGAGTGGGGGAGCGATTTGGGGGCAGACAGGGGCGGCCCTGACCGCGGATGGCCCTCTCCCGTGCTCCTGCCCCTGCTCCTCCTGGAGGGAGGAGGAAGACTACATGAGCATAAATTTGCGGAGGTCCACACGGATTTCTTGGATCGGCGCTGGACACCCCCCCGCCCCTCCCTGGCGCGCGGGGCGCGCCAGGGGCGGCACCAGAGGCGCCGCCAGGGGGGTCCAGCGTCGATCCAAGAAATCCGCGCGGATCTCCCGCAGTGTATGCTGATGTCGTGCTTCGTGTTCGACTTGCTTCCTGCTCCTACGTCACCTCTCCAACGACGCCCAGGCCAGATGCCGAGAGCACCGAGCGCGGGGCCAGAACGGACCCGCCAGGGTCGCCCACCGCCGCAGGCAGCAGCACGGCGAGGAAGGCATCTGCCGCGGATGTGGAACCCACCTGCACCGTCGGTGCACTGTCTGCCCCCCTCTCTCTCTCTCTCTCTACCTGTCTTTGGAGGCCTAGAAATGGGCACCAACACCAAGACAGGGGCCTGCCTCCACAGGGGAAATATGATCCTAGATTCCGGTGTTACTGGTAATACTTCGGCCACCTTGGAAGCCAGGTCATTACCACCATCACCGAGATCGGGATCCTCTCCCCTCGGTGGAAGCACACGGCCGATCCTGGTGTTGGTGTCCACCTCTAGGCCTGCGATGTCTCGCTCTCTCTCTCTCTCTCTCTCTTCGGCGGCGCGCCCCCAAGGCTCCGAAGGCCCCCAGTCTTCCGAGCACCTCTGCAGACCTCCCTCCGTTGGAGCCCTGCCGCCTTCTGAGGGGCCCCACCCCCTCTCGCTGCCCCCCCCCCCTCGGCGCGCCGCCGATTCTCGGGCAGCGGAAGCCTCCACGCATCCCCGCCCTAGCTCCACATCGTGAGTCGCTCGTGCCGTCACAGATCTCCCTTTAGGGGGCCACATGCGAACCCCACCCTGCCCCTCAGAAATCGTGGGGCGTAGGGGCAGGGTTCGCATGTGGCCCCCTACTCTTGGCCTCCACGCCACCCGTTCCCACCGCGGTCGCCGCGGTCCCATCGCAGTCGCCGCAGTCGTCTCTCTCTCTCTCTCTCCCTCTCTCGGCGGCGCGCCGAGGGGGGGAAGGCAGAGGGGGCGGGCATCCCCAGGAGGCTCAGAAGGCCTCCAGCCTGCTAAGAAGCCCTCTGGGCCGTCTCCGAAGCCACGGATGGCTTCTCGGGAGGCCCCAGGGCTCGCTTTCGTTCTCGCTTTTCCTCTCGCTTTCGCTCGTCGTCGTCGTCGTCGTCGCCACCTTCGTCGTCGTCGTCGTCGTCGTCGTCGTCGTCGTCGTCGTGGTCGTCGTCGTCGTCGTCGTCGTCGCCTTCTCACTTCCCCCCTCGGCGCGCCGCCGACCATCGGGCAGCGAGAAGACGGAACAGGTTCCGTCTTCTCGCCACGGGAACAGTCGCTCTCGACGTCGCAATGTGGGTTGGCATCTGCGCCGCCTGTTCCCATCGCCGTCGTCGCTGTCGCATCATCCGTCTCACTGCTCCCTACAATTGTGGATGCCACGACAATGGACACCCTAACAGTCCGATCCTTGAATCTAAAATGTGTGTAAAATGTCGGAAAGCGTTGTAAACATGTTTTAAACATGTTTTTCACATGTTCAAAACATGTTTAACACATGTTTTAGACATCTGGAAATTATATGTTTCCTCTCCATTGATCCCACAATTCTATAGGCGTGATCTTTCCAACTAGATCGGACCAAGCACCTGGTCGCACAGAGAAAGGATAACGTCGCCAAGACGCCTTTTCGCAGCCGATCCAGTCGAACCGGATCTGCACAAGCTACGTACGCATGCACACACGGCGACCTCGACTCCGTCAAAGACAATTGGACGGCGGGTGCACCTCCTCCACGTGCTCGAGTTTGCAAGAGCAAAATACGTATGAACGATCTTTTTAGACACCCTGGCATCCAACGACCTCTCGCTCTTGCATGCTCTCTTTCTCTCTCACTCTCTCTCTCGTTCTCTCTCGCTCCCTCTCTCTCTCTCTATTTCTCTCTCTCCCTCTTTCGCTCTCTGCCCATATTGCTGCTTCTCTCTCTCTCTCTCTCTCGTTTTCTCCCACCCTCTCCAGCCCGCGCTCCATGCTTCATTGTCCGCCTCCTCCATCCTCCTCCACCACTCCATCTCCTCCTCGTCCTCCTCACCCTCCTCCTCCTCCTCCTCCTCCTCCTCCTCCTCCTCCTCCTCCTCCTCCTCCTCCTCCTACTCATCGTCCTCCTCATCCTCCTTCTCCTGCTCCTCGTGCTCCTCACCCGCATCCCTCCCCTGCCCATTCCGCATCGAGTTACCAATCGCGTGGGTAGGAGCGCCTCCGGCAGCATCTCCCCCAACACCTTCGCGAGCTCTTGGGCACTGGGGTCCAAGTTGCCCTCGGAGACGCGGTTCATGAGGCCGCGCAGCTGCCGCCTCCGCGCGGCTGGATCACGCGAACAAGCCACGCTTGCTGCGCACACTACGTTCGCGTATGAGAGCGTGTTTTTCTCGATCCGGTTTTCTGGTGTTTTGCTGCCAGAACGCGGGCGGCATGAGTATTGTGTGTGTGGTGTGTGCTACGTGATGTGTGCTGTGTATTGTATGTGCAGTGTGGTTGCTTTTGTGCTTATGGTTGCTTATGTATGAACTTGTTTGTGAATGTCTGTGTGCGTCCGAGCCTCAGACGGCTACCTCACGATCAAAAGAGTGCGTTTGCGTGTGCCTGAGTGCTGACTGTGTTTTAACTTTGCGTGCCTATGTGCATGTGTGCGTGTGCGCGCGTGCATATGCACGTGTGTGCGTGTGCGTGCGTGTGCTCCTGTGCGTGTGTGTGTGTGTGTGTGCATGTGCGCGTGTTCGCATGTACGCTATTGTGAAAAAAAGCGCATGTGCGCATGCACACGCAAGCAAGTGTACCGGGCCTGGCCTGCTCTGGACGTAGAAGGTCCGGCACGTCGACGGTAGCTTAGTACGTCGAAGCGCGAGTGAAGAGGCCCGCCCTCGCTCAGGACTGGGAAAATCGAGTGGATCCACCAGGCTGCACTAAGGACGCGCTTCCAGACTGCAGGCTTTCGGGATCGCGTTGACGGAGGAAAGACTCTCTGCGCTGCGCAAGGTCAAGGGTTCAACGAGGCGCAATAAAATTGAAAGATGCACATAGACCCTGGCAAGAGCCTCTCAGAGCGGCACATCACTGGCGTGCACAACAAACAGCGGGCAACCAGGATCCAGGGGAAAGGGGTCCATCCTGCGAACTTGTGGCCGCTCGAAAAACGGTGACCCAGACTTCTCACAAGGCTAGGCTTCGGCGGGCAAGCACAGCTGAGGCCCCAAGAGGGTTACGTCCCTCCTCCAAACTACTCATCCTCTGGATGAAGCGCTTTTCCGCCCAATCACGCTCATCCGAACTCCCCCCGCAGTACACCCACCCACCCTTACCATCCCACACCATACTCGTCCTCCAATTCATTTTTCTCCTCCACCCGATCCTTTCCCTACTGCCCCTGCTGCTGCTCCACTTTCTCCTTTTCTTCGTTGTTTCAAGTTCCACGGACTATGATCGGATGGCTGCAACGTCTAAACAACATGATCATCAATCTCCTCATTTGTCTGATCATCATCAGCAGCACCAGCAACAGCATCATCATCATCATCAACACCATCATCATCAGCAACGCCACCACCACCACCACAGTCGGAAACACCATCGTCATCATCAGCAGCAGCATCAGCACCACCACCCTCATCATCAGCAGCATAATCACAACCATCTGCAACATCACGGTCATTTTCATCATCACACGCATCGCGTCATCACATTCGTCATCACAATCATCATCCTCATCGGAAACCTCATCATCACCATCGATTTCATGATCCGCATCATAATTGTCATGCACATCCTGGGAAAATGATTTGCACGGGAAGGATCCAAAGATGATAGGAAATGTGCTTCACATGCAAGACAAAACGAATGTAGAAATGTTGAATGCTTGACCAAAAAACGCTGGCAACGACGACAGTTTGGCTAAACTACACTGCTGTGCTCCTCACCGAAAACAGAACCATGTTCTAACATTCCCCGTCGGCGAGAATAGCCGATAGGTGCGACGGGGGCAGACAGGCATTTATGGCGAACCGGGTGAGGGCTAACAAAGTCGCGTGCAGGAGGGGACCGAATCGCCAACTCAGTTGATCGAGTATGCACGACTTAATAACGCGCAACCTTGCACAAGAAAAAATGCTGTTATATATATATATATATATATATATATATATATATATATATATACACATATACATATACATATATATAAGATTGGGGGATGTTTCGGGCGTATGCGTCGTTTTCTGTTTTCCCGCCTCAGGGAGGCTTCGGAAGGCTTGGGGAATTTGAAAAATCAAAAAAATCAACAACAAAAAACAAAAAAAAAAAAAAAAAAAATCGGAATGCGATTGTGATTATTTTGATGTTTTCGATTTTTTTGATTTTTTTGAAATTCTTATTCCTGGTGCCCTCTGAAATCTAATAATGATCTCCCAATTGGGAGGCTTCTGAAATTTGAAAAATTAAAAAAACCAAAAAAATCAAAAAAAAAAAAAAAAAAAAAAAAAAAAAAAAAAAAAAAAAAAAAAAAAAAAAAAAAAAAAAAAAAAAAAAAAAAACGGAATTTGATTTTGATTATTTTGATTTTTTTGATTTTTTGATTGTTTTGAAATTCTTATTTCTGGTGCCCTCTGAAATCTAGAAATAATCTCCCAATCTGGAGGCTTCGGAAATTTGAAAAATCATATATATATACATACAAAAAAAAGAAAAAAAAATCGGAGTTCGATTTTGATTATTTTGTTTTTTTTTCTCTTTTTTTTTATTTGTTTTTTATTTTAATGCTTTTTCAAATTCCTGGTGAAATCTTATAATAACCTGCCCCATTTGGATGCCAAGGGGGAGAGAAAAGAAAAAAAAAAAAAAAAAAAAAAAAAAAAAAAAAAAAAAAAAAAAAACGGAATTCGATATTGATTATTTTGTGTTTTTTTATATTATTTGATGTTTTTGCAATTATTATTCCTGGTGCCCTCTGAAATCTAATAATAATCTCACAATTGGGAGGCTTCGGGAAATTGAAATTACAAAAAAAAAAAAAAAAAAAAAAAAAATGTTTTTTTTTTATATTTTTTTATATATATAAAAAAAAAAAAAAAAAAAAAAAAAAAAAAAAAAAAAAAAAAAAAAAAACTACAAACATATATATATATATATATATATATATATGTGCTCTTTCGCGTCATTGTCGCGCCGCGACGAGGTTCTGGCTCAAGTCAAACGAGGTTTCAGCCCACATGGGAAATCCTAAAAAGGGCACGAAAGCCCACCAGGCAAAACTGAAACAAAACGCTGACTACAAGGCAAAAAAACGCCTTCACCAGTTTCTGCTCCAGCCCCGAACGCGGCGCTTGACGGCGGAGGGCGCCCGCGCGGCTGCACTGAAGCTCAAGAGCCGGCTTGAGCAGGTAGCCAAAAAGCAACAGACCGAAGCAGACAACCTCAGGACCTTGTGGGTCGTGTCAAAGTTCTACCATTAATTATAGGTTTGGCACTTTCGAAATGATAAGGAAACTTAATTACCGCATTTTCCGCAGGAGGCGGTCCAACGTGCATTTCCGCAACGCCAAGGCCGCCAAGGACGCTGCAGAGGCCCACCGCGAAGATGCCAAGCAGGCGCGGGTGGGGGCGAAAAAGAACAAGAAGGCTTACTTGCAGGATCGGGAACGCAATCTGGCGACATAGTACCCCCTGCAAAAACAAGAACTCCAAACAGTTTTTTCCTTTGGCAAGTCCTCCATAGGTCGCCTGTTTGCGTTCCCTCTGAGGAGAAGAAGGAGAAGGAGGAGACGGCCAAAAAGCTGGCCAAGACGGCGGCGAATCTGAAGGCAGAGTCGCTCAAGGTCTGCACGAACCTGAAGAGAGACGAGGAGCTGCGCAAAGAGAAGAAACGCAACGGCGACCTCCAGCGCCGCCTGCGCACTGCGCAGCAGAGCTACTGGGAGGCCAGGCAGCGCATCAACTTCTTCGAGGGGTGAGCGGCGATGAGAGCCAAGCGGGCGCGGGTCGTCAGACTCGCTGAAAAAAGGGGCATCCCATTTTCGGATGCCCTCAGAGGAAGGAGCGACGAAAGGAGCCACCAGGGGACCACGAGAAGAAACGCAACCCCGCTTGAAGAACGCACACCCTTATCTCGCAAGTTATGCGTTTCATACAGTCTTTGCGGTGTTTACGCAAATATGAAAAATTATGTTTTCAATACTTTTTTGTGCATTTGCAGTTTTCATTAAACAAGCAAATTCAAGGGAAAGGAACGCAACCCCGCTTGAAGAATGCACAGCCTTATCTCGCAAGTTATGTGTTTCATATAGTTTGTGTGGTTTTGATGAATATGAAAAATTATGTTTTTCATACTTTGTTTGGTGCATTTGTAGTTTTCATTCAAAACAAGCAAATTCAAAGGATAGGAACGCAACCCCGCTTGAAAAATGCACAGCCTTATCTCGCAAGTTATGTGTTTCAAATAGTTTGTGTGGTATTTTGATGAATATGAAAAATTATGTGTTCAATACTTTTTTTGGTGTATTTGTAGTTTTCATTCAAAACAAGCAAATTCAAGGGATAGGAACGCAACCCCGCTTGAAGAATGCACAGCCTTATCTCGCAAGTGGTGCGTTGCATATTGTGTTTGAGTAGTTTTGAGAAGTATACAAAACAATGGTTGTCCCGTCCATGGGCCGTACTGGGAAGCCTCTTGGAAGCCACTCGCGGCGTCTTGGGGGCCGTCTTGGCTTCATCTTAGGCGCCGTCTTGGGGTCCACCTGGGCCGTCTTGGGGCCATCTTTGGGCCGCCTCTTGGAAGCCGCTTAGACCGTCGTGGAACCATCCTAGGGCGTCTTCGGGTCAACGGGGCAGAAAGCCAACCAGCAATGGACGGACCAAGGACCCCTGGAGGGAGCTCCAAGAGGCCTGGAGAGAGCTCAGGAGAGTATCCAGGAGTGCGTCCAGCAAGGCATCCAGAATGGGGCCCAGACATGGGACAACGAACATGTGAGATCTCGTAGTTGTTAGGCTCAAGTCAGTGAACGCTGAGGCTCGCAACTGCATTATTCACACTCAGTGCTAACCATCGGTCGGGCACGCATGATTTCCGTGAGGAACACGTTTATTGACGTTGTGTCGGTTTCACAACGTGCGTCCCAGAGGTCTAGGTCAATGTCTCCTCCGAGGGCTGCGCGTGCAGGTCCTGGCGATTCGGGCGAGGATTCTGGTTCTTTCACCTTCGAGACCGAGAGCCTAGAGAACCTGCGCGACTTCTACAGGAAGAACTGCTCCAACGAGCCGATTGCAGCCAGCGTGCCGCGCGACATGGGGGCCGCTTCTGCCGCCG